GACCCGTCAAAAACAAACAAGTGGAGAATTCGGTTGAGACTGATGAATGATCCCAGTAAATTATATAACTACACTACTTACTACTACTATTTTATTGCATTATTATCACAAAAACCAATTACTCCAACTATGATTATTATATCCACTAATACTAAAAAAAAATATTGATCTTTGAATTATTAAAAGGCTGCATAGCGCAGCAAAATTTCCAATTATATAGAACGAAAAATTCATAGGTTACTTCTGCAGCTGATATATTCAGTATATTAAAAGTAAATTTGCATGATGAAGTTTTACGAAATTGAAAGGATGAAGGTTCATCTATTACTATAACTTTGATGTTTCGGGTCATTCCTACCTGTTTCTTTCTTTACAATAAAGCGAAAATTGCTCAAAGGCTTGCATCATTTTGAATTCATAAACAAATCTTGAACTTTTAAATAATTAGCAACAATTAATAACCAAAAAGAACCCTTCAAAATATGTGTGTAAAAGACAATAAACAACAACAAGAACAACAATAATAAATAACATAACGCAAGAGTTTTATTAATGCAGCAAAGATCCTTGCTTGATCCCGTTTGCAACCTCATAATATTATCATATTGTTATGAATAAAACATTATTACTTTCCACAAGATCAGTGACATCAATATAAACATAAACATAAGTTCTCAAGCCTTTGCACCTTTTAACAATACATTTGAGATTGTTAAAAAGTTTATTTAGTGTGTATAGTTTGTTAAAAAAATTTATATTATTAACTATATATTTGCTTGTTTATAGCTTCATCAATAATATATTCATTATCTTCTCCATAAATATTTTTTACAGCTAAGACAGATTAACATGCGTTTAATCAAAAGATTAAAATATTGGACATGGTAAATTTTTTTTTTTTTGTCCATATAGATAATACTTGTATATACGAATTAAAACAAATAGAATACAAGTAAAAGTTAATTTTCTTTAACAGGAATATTTTCTTTTTTTATAACACATACTTATTGAATTTATTTATATTAATATTAATGTTATAAATTTTGTGTATGTAAACCAATTACAAAATTTTATATCTTTACTAAATTAATTAGATAATCATTTCAATCTGTCGAGAATCTAAAAAAATAGTTAGATATTTATTAATAGATATAAAAAATGAAAATAATCAATGATTAAATGTTAACATTTACCATTATTATCACCAATAACTGTTACTTTATTAGGATTTACAGGTTGGGGAGGGCTTGTAAATTTTAGTAGTCTGCTAGTATAAACAGCATTTGGATGAATTGCTGCAGTAATTTCCAAAGGATCAGTTTTTATTTCATCCATTTCACGAAACATTGTTACGATCGATTTTAATTCATCCTGCTGTTCTTTTGAATATCTTCTACCAAGACCCATTTTCGAATAATTACCAAATGAATCATTCCAAAAATTAATAATCATACGAATTTCTTTAGCGGTTGGACGTTTATCTGGATTAGCATCCATGCATCTGAATGCTAATTCAATATAGAATTTTGCTGTGTTTCTTGAAAATCCAGGTCTTACACCTTCACATATTTTTATCGTAAGATCTTCATCATGTGCCAAATTATTAAATGGTTGTTGGCTAGTTGACATTACAGACATCAGAACTCCAAAACTATATATATCTGACGCTTTTGTATATGGTTCCCCTTTCAAAACTTCTGGTGCAACATATGGTAGTACTCCGAATACATCATTTTTGTTTGGTGCAGATGTTTGACTAGCTGGACATGATAATCCTAAATCCGCAATGTATGAAGTGTATGAATCAATACCATCATATTTGTATTTGTCACTTTCTAGAAGAATATTACCACTGTGAAGATCACGATGAATAATTTCTTCTTTATGAATATCTTCTAAACCATTAATAATTTGTAGAAGAATATTAACTTTGTTTTCCCAATTTAAATTTTTAAAACCTTTTGTTAAATAATTTTGAAGGCTTCCATTTTCTATATAATCCATTACGAATATATACTCTTTTGTAATTGGATCTTGTGCTAATCCATAAAGATGAATTATGTAAAAATTATAATGAAATTTTATATAATTTTTGAACTAAAAAATTAATTATAATAATAATAATCAATATTATATAAAAAAATCTGAAACCATTATTAATAAAATAATCTACCTCATTAAGAAATTCGTTAGAAATATTTTGTGAATCGTGTAATTGTTTTAATACCACAGTCCTATCTTTACTAGTTCTTTTATCATCATCATCTAAATATTTCTCGCCGTTTAACCAAGTAGCTTTGTATATAGTCGCAAAACCACCTTCTTCTATCCTTTCAATATTTGTTAAATCATTATAAGGAATCCACTCAAGATAACATTTGTTATAATAATATTCTGTTTCAAGTTGTGTGCTTTTAATCAATTCATCTAATGTTTCATTGCCACTAGTCCATCCTTCAGTCAATAGCTTTAGATCGCATGATTGACACCATGCCCAATTGGTATTATATCTATTGCAAGTTGGACATTTTCCATAATATTCATTTCTTCTATATGAATATTTATCATCAACATAACGTTTATTTTCATTTACAGTGTTTTCCATCTCTCAAATTTTTCAGAAATATTTTTTTTTTCTTTATTTTTTATTTTTAGCCCCAAGGTGGTGGAAACACAAAATAATATATTTGGGTTGGATTTTAACAATTAAATAATTAAATTAAATTGATAGTTAGCTTAAAAATTACAATCCTTGTATTTATACTTATTTAACAGGTACCAACCTATAATGTAAATAAGGATGCGTGGAGAATAATTGTCAGCATTTATTTATGTTATTATTATTGATCTTTACTAAATTTCAAATCAGGGTTAATAGACTATTTTTTTAACTTCTATTCATAGACTACATCAGGTCAAGTTCCAGTTACTCGGGCTGGTCATGTTGCAAAAAAATAATCCTTGGTTTTCCGATTTCATTTGGTATCAAAAAATCAATTTTGAGCGTGGGAGCTCGGAACCATGTTTTGCTAGCACAATCCCTGTATAATAATAAATTAAAAGCTCAATCGAGTGATGTAACTTCAGCATTTCAGTGTATGGTTTTCATATATATATTATAAATGGACGTTCATTTAAAATAGAAAAAAATCTTAAATGCCTAATGGTTTTTCGTCCTTAGAAAACATCGACACACTTGTTAATAACCTTATCAATTCCAACAAGGACGCCTTACCATTAAAATATATTAGCCAACTTGTAAATGATTTATCGAAATTACTAAACGAGTCTGACTCATATGAGGTAGATATTAAAGTTGGAGCAGAACAAGAGATTCAAACCTTTAAAAGCTCATTCAAATATTTTAAAGCAAGATCCACATACTTTAAAACAGCTTTATCAGCTAACCGGGTTAAACAATCTGATTGTGGAATTACTTTATTTGAAAAAGAGAATATTTCAAAAGTCCCAAAAGATAGGGGTGCTATTTGAGAATGTATGATTCAATTTATTCGTTTTATTCATTTATTCGTTTTATTCGAATTATTCGGATTTATTCATTCGTTTATTCAGTCTATTCGTTTTATTTGTTTATTCGAATAATTCAAATTATCCGTTTTTATTCGAATACTTAATCAATTAATATAAAAATAAATGAAAATGAAAATTATTTTATTTTTTAGGCAATATATACAACAAGAGATGCCATAGATGGTGCCAACCAAACCTTTGTGGGTCAAGAAAAAATATTGTATATTAATATATATATATATATATCAGTCAGTATCTTGCTTTAGCTGGAATCTTTTAAAATTTTATATATTAATATTAATATAGAATTTGAACTACATGTTCCGATGCAAATCTTCTAGAAGATTAGATTCACAAAGAGAACTTGATCTTTGCAAAAATGGGCCAAGTATTGCTTGGTTGATTGTTTAAGGATTGTTGATGATTACGATGTAGAGAATTAGTCAAAATGTATACTATATACACTTTATTCTTTATGCTAATAATAATTGAAAAGACTTTTGCAGTGGTAGTAGCGTTTGTCAATTTGTTCCTAAGGAAGGTTAGTGTGTTATAGCTTAGACTAAATATTTATAATAACAAACGGTAAACAGCAACATTTATTACAGAGATGGTTACATGTTAGTAATTTTTTACTGCAAATAATAAAAAAAAGGGTTAGATTTTGAATGTTTAAAAGGTCCTTGCGAGGAATTTTTTATTTTTAAAAGATTTATAAATTAAGATTATATATTTTTATAATTTTAATTGAATATATTCATACTTTTTTTAATAATGCAAGCTGGCTTTTTAGTTAACGCCACTTATTTACTCATTTACTAAATATCTTATCAATTAATTGCAAGCAATGTAACTTGATACTTGGTCAATATTATTTTATCAATTTTTTCTTTCTTGTACTTCAAAAAATTTTATAAATATACTTAATAGCACAAAAACTTTCATAACTCCTTTACTTATTTACAATCTATTTATTTAATCCACTTGTTAGCCGACTGAACAGCTTGCTTGGCAGTTTTACTTTTATAAATCACATGATAACTGTTTGCTTTACTACCTTGTTAACATTTTACTTTACAACGCTAACTGTTGCTAAAAAAACACTTCGCTACTGACCTTACTAACCGTTAATCAAATTTTACTTTAGCCTTGATTTTTACCAAAGCCCGACCTTGCTTTCTACCAAAGAATTACGATCAATGTTTCTTTTGAATAGGTCTCGATTCATCACCTGTTCTTTAGAATGTCTAGAAATCTATTATATTTACTTTATATATTAAAATACAATCCTTGAATCGCTGATTCATTTGATATAAAAAACTCAATTTTAAGCCTAGTGGCACAGTCCCCATATTAATATAATAATACAAATTTAATGTCGATCTTTCATATTACATAAATATAAATATACCGTTCATTTAAATTCATTAATTATATTAATTACACAAAATAGAAAAAGCTCCTTTAAAATGTCTAATGGTTTTTCGCATAACACAAAATATATTAACCAACTTGCAAACGATTTATCAAAATTGCTGGATGAGTCTGAATCATATGATGTAGAGATTAAAGTAGGAGCAAAACAGGATGTTAAAACCTTTAAAGCTCATTCGATTATTTTAAAAGCAAGATCCACATATTTTAAAATAGCTTTATCAGCTAACTGGGTTAAAAAATCTGATTGTGGGATTATTTTATTTGAAAAAGAAAATATATCTCCAAAAGTATTTGAGGTTCTTTTAAAGTAGGATTAATTAATTTATTCATATTGTTTATTTATAAACAATATTTTAAAATTATTAATTGTTTTCTCCTTATTATTTTAAAAGATTTATTTATAATGGAATTGTTAATATAGATAATCTAAATCCAGATGAAATTCTTGAACTCCTTGAAGCATGTGATGAATTGGACATTAGTGAATTAATTGATGATTTACAAAATTACCTAATTACAAATAAAAATGAATGGGTTCAACAAAACTTAATTTATGTTAATAAATTTTCATCAAGACATCAATTGTTCACCACGCTGCAGGATTATTGTAAAGAATTAATCTGTGAAAATCCAGAATCATTCTTAAAATCTAATGATTTCAAAAATATTGATGAATCAACATTTATAGCTATATTAAAAAGCGATGATATAGAATTGGATGAAATTAGCATTTGGGATTACGTTATTCAATGGGGAATTGGACAAAATCAAGAATTAGAAAAAAATGTTTCAGATTGGAATATGGATGATTTTAGAGAATTAAAAATTCTATTGGCTGACATTATCCCATTAATTAGATTTAATCAAATTTCATCTGATGATTTTTATAAAAAAATCAAACCATATAAAAAAGCTATTGACAAAGAACTTTATAAAGAAATTCTTCAATATTATAATACTGGTAAATGGCAGTCAAGATTATTGCTTCAAAAAGAACCAAGAAAAAGATTAGGAACAACACCAATATTATTCTTACCGCCATATCATTGGCTGGATCCATGGGATCTATGGGAACCTCATGAATCTATATCCTACCTATTAAAGAAGATGCGATTGCAAACACAACAACTGCAGCTAGAAGAACAACAACGGCAGCTAGAAGAACAACAACAGCAACAGAAACAACAACGGCAACAGCGAGAACAGCGATGGCAACGGCGACAACAGCGATGGCAACAACAACAGCAACAGCAAGAGCAGCAATTGCAACAGCAAGAGCAGCAGCGGCAAGAGCAAGAGCAGCAACGGCAAGAGCAAGAGCAGCAACGGCAACAGCAAGAGCAGCAGCGGCAACTACAAATGCAGCGGCAACAATGGCAAGAGCAGCAATGGCAACAGAAAAAGCAGCAATGGAAATCGCAAAAGCAGCAATGGAAACGGCAAAAGCACCAATGGCAACGGAAACAGCAATGGTCAAGATGATGATGGAAATAGTAAAAACTACAACTATATACAACAGGAGTAGGATTGATTCCCTATAGGATTTGTAATAAAAAAAGTTTTTTTGATTATTTATTCAAATTATCTGAAAGCTTCAAAGCATTTGGTTTGCATTATAAATTAATTCTGTACAGTCTCTACAAAAAATAATATATAAGAATACCTTTCTTTACATCCCCCGAAAATCATTAAATCCAAACATGGAGTATGTTTTAAATGGTGTTTAAAGTGAATATATTTTATTGATCAAATTATTTTTTTTTTGCTAAATATAATTCTTAAGCATTGATTAATTCAGTTAAAAAATCTTGATAACAGATTATACATAAATTACTTGTACCTTCTTCATATCTAAATTAGCTATCTAATCTATACATTAAACTTGCCCTTTTTAGTCCATTAATATTTCTTGAGATGATTTCTTGTTCCTGAATCGGGTTTTGTATGAGACTATAATAACATTATTTTTATCACTTGAAAGAGTATCAAGATCTCTTAATTGATCAGTAGAAGCCCTTCCTCTTTTTATTTAACTAAGCTTTGAATGAGCCAAGTTTATACTAGTGTTGGTTTCCAAAACTCGAGAGTTTCGCAACCGTGCGAAAGTCAAAAGGTTTCACCATAAGTCGAAACTAGTTTGGATTTTTGACTATTGACTTTTGATTTAGTTTTGACATATAACTTTTAATTTTAGTTTTGACTTTTACCTCTTCAAATAGTTTTGGCGACCAACACTAGTTTATACTTAATATTGTTTTTTATAAAATCACAATTTTGCAATCCATGAAAATAATAGAAGTAAAACAATAATAAACTATAGTGATTATATAACATACTTGAATTTTAGAACAGATTAAAAAATCTCAATTTAAAATTCGTTATGCCAAAATTACTAATTCTAATATGTTTTTAAAATTCGTTGTACTTAATTGAAACAAATTATTCATAATACAACTCAATTAATATTAATTCATCTTATTCAGGATTTTTTTATTCGAATTATCTGTCTGGATCATTCATTTTATTCGTTTATTTGAATTATTCATTTTATTTGAATACCCATAATCAATTATTATATTTAAAATCAATTAAATTTTTTTTCCACAAGGGTTAATGAAATTGTGGATCAAGAAAGGCAAATTATTATGTGTCAGTTATCATCTATTTATTAAAAAAAAAGAATTTTAATTTTAATTTTAATTTCAATTTCAAATATATAGTTCTTCTGCAAAGGTCTGGAAAATTAGATTCGCAAAGAGAGCTCAACCTTAGACAAATCTTCGTGAGACAATTACTTGGCTTTTGTGAAAATGAGTTCATTGATAAGTATTGTCTGGTTGATTGTTTAAGGATTGTTGATGATTATGATGTAGAGAATTAGTCCAAATGTATATACTATATACACTTTATTCTTTATATGTTTTACGTAATTTGCATTTATCAATGAAAAGATCTGCAACAAAAGTAATAAATTGAAAAAACTTTTGCAGCAGTAAACAGTGCTTGTCAATTTGTTCCTAATAAAGGTTTACTGCTATGGCTTAGATTGAATATTATAATGAACAGTCAACTCGAGAGACATTTATTATAAGGGTAGCTACATGTTGTATTAGATAAAAAAAAGGAATAGATTTTGAATTATCATTGAATGTTAAGATTCTTGCGAGGGTGATGTGATTGATTATCCATCACTTTTTTATTTTTTTGATTAAAGCTTTATATTTTATAGTTTTAATTGTATATACATTGAGTCTCAGTTTAACGGATATTTTTTTTCCAAGAAATTTATTCCGCAAAAGCATCAAATTCCGTGATATAAATCAAATGTAAAAAAAAAAATTTATATAAAAATATGACGAAAATATCATTGTTGACTTATAAATTCGTCGGTTTTGCTTTTGTTAATAGTAATGTAAAGTGTCGATCCTTCACGATTTCATATCATCCATTTAAATTCAATTAATTATTAATTACACAAATAGAAAAAAATTTCAAACCTTAACTTTTCAAAATGTCTAATAGTTTTTCGTCCTTAGAAAACATCAACATACTTATTAACAACCTTATCAATTCCAATAAGGATACCTTACCATTAAAATATATTGGCCAACTTGTAAATGATTTATCAAAATTGCTGAATGAGTCTGAATCATATGATATAAAGATTAAAGTAGGAGCAGAACATGATGTTAAAACCTTTAAAGCTCATTCAAATATTTTAAAAGCAAGATCCACATATTTTAAAACAGCTTTATCACCTAATTGGATTAAAAAATCTGATTGTGGAATTATTTTATTTGAAAAAGAAAATATATCTCCAAAAGTATTTGAGGTCCTTTTAAAGTAAGGATTAATTAATTTATTCATATTTTTTATTTATAAACAATATTTTAAAATTGCTAATTTTTTCTCATTATTTAAAAGATTTATTTATAATGGAATCGTTGGTATAGATAATTTGAATCCAGGTGAAATTATTGAACTCCTTGAAACATGTGATGAATTGGACTTTAATGAATTAATTGATGATTTACAAAATTACCTAATTACAAATAAAAAAGAATGGATTCAACAAAACCTAATTTATGTTCATAAAATTTCATTAAAACATCAATTGTTCAGCATATTGCAGGCTCATTGTAAAGAATTAATTTGTGAAAATCCAGAATTAATTTTAAAATCTAATGATTTGAAAGATATTGATGAATCAACATTTATAGCTATATTAAAAAGTGATGATATAGAATTGGATGAAATTAGCATTTGGGATTACGTTATTCAATGGGGAATTGGACAAAATCAAGAATTAGAAAAAAATGTTTCAGATTGGAATATGGATGATTTTAGAGAATTAAAAATTCTATTGGCTGACATTATCCCATTAATTAGATTTAATCAAATTTCATCTGATGATTTTTATAAAAAAATCAAACCATATAGAAAAGCTATTGACAAAGAACTTTATAAAGAAATTTTTCAATATTATATTACTGGTAAATGGCAGTCAAGATTATTGCTTCAAAAAGGACCAAGAAAAGGACCAAGAACAATACCAATATTAGGCTTACCGCCATTCCAACGGCAACTATGGGATCCATGGGATCTATATGAACCTCGGAAACCTCTATCCTACCTATTAAAGAAGATGCGATTGCAAACGCAACAACGGCAGCTGCAAACACAACAACGGCAGCTACAAGAACAACAACGGCAGCTACAAGAACAACAACGGCAGCTACAAGAGCAACAACGGCAGCTACAAGAGCAACAACAGCGACGGCAACAGCAATGGCAACAGCGACAACAGCAATGGCAACAGCGACAACAGCAACGGCAACAGCTAGAGCAGCAACGGCAACGGCAGCTAGAGCAGCTACGGCAACAGCTAGAGCAACAGCTAGACCAGCAACGGCAACAGCAAGAGCAGCAACAGCAACAGCAAGAGCAGCGGCAACAATGGCAAGAGCAGCAAAAGCAGCAATGGCAACAGCAAAAGCAGCAATGGAAATCGCAAAAGCAGCAATGGAAACGGCAAAAGCACCAATGGCAACGGAAACAGCAATGGTCAAGATGATGATGGAAATAGTAAAAACTACAACTACAACAGGAGTAGGATTGATTCCCTATAGGATTTGTAATAAAAAAAGTTTTTTTGATTATTTATTCAAATTACCTGAAAGCTTCAAAGCATTTGGTTTGCATTATAAATTAATGCTGTACAGTCTCTACAAAAAATAATAAATAAGAATGCCTTTCTTTACATCCCCCGAAAAGCATTAAATCCAAACATGGAGTATGTTTTAAATGGTGTTTAAAGTGAATATATTTTATTGATCAAATTATTTTTTTTTTGCTAAATATAATTCTTAAGCATTGATTAATTCAGTTAAAAAACTTGATAACAGATTATACATAAACTACTTATACCTTCTTCATATCTAAATTGGCCATCTAATCTATACATAAAACTTGCCCTTTTTAGTCCATTAATATTTCTTGAGATGATTTCTTGTTCCTGAATCGGGTTTTGTATGAGCCTATAATAACATTATTTTTATCGCTCGAAAGAGTGTCAAGATCTCTTAATTGATCGGTAGAAACCCTTCCTCTTTTTATTTTACTTAATATTGTTTTTATAAAATCACAATTTTGCAATCCATGAAAATAATAGGAGTAAAACAATAATAAACTATAATGATTATATAACATACTTGAATTTTAGAACAGATTAAAAAATTTCAATTCAAAATTCGTTATGCCAAAATTATTAATATGTTTTAAGATTCATTATACGCGAATTTAATTATAATTCATCGAAACGAATTATTCATTTGAAAAATCAATTTTTTTTCCAACAAGATAAAAATGAAAATGAAAATTTTTTAGGAAATAGATATAAGGCAAAATATTATATGTCTTTCAGTACCTTACCTTAGCTGAAATCTTTTCTATTTATTAAAAAAAAAAATTTTTTAATTTCAATTAATTTCAAATATACGTTTCTTCTACAAAAGTCTGAAAAATTGGATTTGCAAAGAGAACCCAATCTTAAACAGATCTTTGTGAGACAATTACATAGCTCTTGTGAAATTATTATCTGGTTGATTGTTTAAGGATTGTTGATGATGTAGAGAATTAGTTCAAATATATGCTATATACACTTTATTCTTTATATGTTTTACGTAATTTGCATTTATTATTATTTTTTTTCAATGAAAAGATCTGTGACAAAAGTAATAATAATAAATTGGTGTGAAATATGATAATAATTGAAAAGAGTTTTACAGCGGTAGCGGTGCTTGTCAATTTGTTCCTAAGGAAGGTTAGTGCTATGGCTTAGACTGAATATTATAATGAACAGTCGACTCGAGCAACATTTATTACAAGGGTAGTTACGTATTAGTATTAGATAAAAAGGGATAGATTTTGAATTATCATTGATGTTAAGATCCTTGCGATTACCCATCACTTTTTTATTTTTTAGATTAAGATTTATGTTTTTATAGTTTTAATTGAATATACTTTTCTTAATAACACATGCTATCTTTTTAGTTAATGCCACTTATTTACTTATTACTAAATATCTTGTCAATTAATTGCAAGCAATGTAATTCGCTTCGCCAATTATTATTTTATCAATCGCTTATTTTTTGTGTCAAGAAAACTCCAGCAACTCTGTAAATACACTTCACGGCACAAAAAACTCTTTGCATATGTATTTAAGTCGCTACTTATTAGCTGATTGCACTCGCTTTGGTTGATTTACAAAACTTGAGCAGTTCATTTAGCAGTTTTACTTTATAATAACACTTTGGCACTTGCTATTCACACGATAACTGTTTACTTTACTACATTGTTAACATTTTACACTTGGTTAATACTTTACATTACAACACTGGCTGTTTATTAAAGTACTTTACCAACTAACCGTTAATCAAATTTACTTTAAACATTAAACTTGCTTTTTACCAAAGCCTTGCCTTCACAGGTAAAAAATGACAATTCGGAATAAAATCGGTGAAATATTAGATACCTGATTTTTAGCTGATTTTAAGAATAGTGATGATTTTCTCGTATCTGATTTATTGAATTTTGGCGCACATTGGCAACAATCAGTATCCAAAAATCAGTAAACTATCAGGCAAAAAACTGTATCATGTCAGACACCCTGAACTTTAGCTGATCTTTTATCAATTGCTGAATTGATTATTCACTGATTTATGAAGAAGTGTTAGATATACTGATTTTTTTATCAGATTTACTAAATTTTGAAACTCTTTCATTTGTTTATTTTTAAACCCAGACAGGTTTTTTTTTCTTACTATATCCAATGTTCGCTTCTTATCCATTATACTATATAGCCTGTTTCTCCCTAAGTTATTTTAATTGTTTATTATAACTTGCATCAATAATAATGATATGGTATTCAGTCACCAATTAGAATAATTCGATAACAAATCAAAAAAAACTAATTATTCGCCCGATTTTTGGCAATGTTAATAATCGGCTTGCAATCGGTAATCTCGAATTTTGACTAATTAGTTTACTAAAAATAGTGCCAATTCAGAAAACCCCGATTTTTAGCAAAGTTAATAATCGGCTTGCAATCGGTAATCCGAATTTTAGCTAATTAGCTTATTAAAAATAGTGACAATTCAGAAAATCCCGATTTTTATCAATTCTAAAAATTGTAAGAATCCATAATTTATTGTTTACGGTTGATCAATTTGACAAAATCGGGAGTATTGCCAATTTTTCATTTTTTTTTACCAGTGCTTGTTTTCTACCAAAGAATTACAACCAAAGTTTTTTTGGATAGGTCTCAATTCAAAAATGTACAGTCAAACCTCGATAAGCCGAACTTTTGGGCTTATCAAAATTCGGTTTATGATACAAATGATGTTTATTAATTGTTCAAAATAAATCGGCTTACAACGTTATAAAATATAAATTTTACAAAATTATTCTAAATCTAAAGATTGTTGCACTGAACTATTAATCTTATGATTTAATAATTTTTTTCTAAGAGTACGAATGCACTTTAATTCATCTTCACATGTATCGAAATCACTTGGAGGATATACTAAAAAATTAATAAATTTCATCATGGTATCTCTAATAGAAATTTCTGGAATAAATGTTTCATCCTGTTGCTCATCTATTTCTGTTGGTTGAATTAATGTAATAATATCCTCGTTTTCCATTACTTATTCACCTGCAACCATGTTATTCTCAATATTTAAATACTTGTCCGCTAAAAGTAAATCGTCAAATGGGAGTTGGTTAATTAAATTTTGAGCTTCGCGATTTTCTTTTTCAGTATCAACTTCAACATTATTCAAAAATTCTAAATTTGATCGACATTATTTTTAAGCCGAATTGTCATCATAAGACGAATTTTAAACCAGTTTATGACCACATTCAGCTTAGAAAACTATATTTTTATTATTTTGTACAGACCATTAAGTTCGTTTGTCAAAGTAAAAGTAGAAATTATAATAAAATTCGGGCTTAAACAAAATAATTTTTTATGATTTGGTTAACCAATTTTGCATCGTTATAAAGCGAAAATCGGTTCATAGTAGTTCGGTTTATCAAGGTTCGACTGGTGTTGATCTCTCATGATTTCGATTTCACCATTTTAAATTACCATTACACAAAATAGAAAAAAATCTCTTTAACCTTTCAAAATGCCTAATAGTTTTACGTCCTTAGAAAACATTAACAAACTTATTAACGACCTTATCAATTCTAACAAGGGTGCCTTACCATTAAAACATATCAGCCAACTTGTAAATGA